ATATCCTGCCCTTTTCCCAAAATTGGGACTCAGAGCGGCTTACAAGATTAAAAACATTACAGTGAAAAACATAGAAATAATCCAGTTTGACACTGCTTTAATTTGCAGTTTGTTGTGGCCCCAGGGCTCTCTGACAGAGAAGGGTAAATATCCTATTAAACTACAAGTCCCATGATTCTGTAGCACTGAGCCATGGCAGTTAAAGCAGTGTCAAACTGGATTATTTCTGCAGTGTGGATGCAGCTAGTTCTAACATTTAAAGCAGGGGTAGGCAATCTTTCCCCTTTAAGGGCCGAGGGACTTCAACTCCCAGAATCCCAGGAGCTATTGGTCAACATTGGACTATGGGCCAACATGGCTGAGGCTTCTGGGAGCTGAAGACCCTCAGCCCTTAAAGGGGTAAGGCTGCCTACCCCTGATTTAAAGTGTCCCTGAGGGATAGGTGGCGGGTGAGTGGATGCTTAAATGCTCCCAAGGAATGGCATAGACTGTTGTTGTTATTAGTTCATATCTGGAGGCTCCAGAAATCCAGTACAATTGTATTATTATCTCCTTTGCCTTTATTATTATTCAGCTCAAAAGGAAATTCAGGTGTAGTTACGTTTGTGTGTCAGTCTTTATCAACACTCGCTTTCTCATCACCTGTTCCCAGACATTCTTCTCTTGAGGCACTTTTTAAACCCGGGGGAAATGTGTGTGTTATTTTGGGGGAGTATTTGCTGTGGGTAACAAATCATATTTTGAGTGACAGCCGATGCTCAAATCATGGGTCTGCTCTCTCTAAGATTTTAATGATTAGGTGTTTTCAAGATTATTTCAGCAGTAGCATCTGGCTTTTCCATTTCTTGAATAAAAAGAACCAATTTGGCTTTCACAGACCAAGCCATGGTGAAGATGGCACTCCTCACGAGACTAGAGGAGGAGTCCCAGAAGAAACTTGATGAATTTCTGCAGAATATTGACAACAGAGACTTAGTGTGGATGGATGAGATTCTTGAAGAAGCAATCAAGATGTTTAGCAGGTAAAATCTAGAGTTATGCTGGAAAAGGTGCCAAAACCCAGTTCTTTGTTTCTTACATCTGTTGAAACTGTTACTGTCCCAAAACTGTGTGAGGGCTGTCAGCCTAGCTGAATTAACTTTAAATCAAGGAGCTGTAAATCCCTTGTAAATGTAGCTGGTATCAAGAAATTCTAGAAATTTGTGTTTCCAACACAACTGGAACTGAATTGTTTGTTCATCAATCTAAAAGCATAACCATAAAACATTTAGCTATGCAGCCCATGTGCCTTTTGCAATTCAGAATTAAATTTTATTGAATTACATCTTCCATGTGGCTCTTTCTGCAAACATATTGTTTATTTGAAGACGTACCTATTAGGAATTCTTGATCTTACATTATATATCCATCTAATGGTTAAAGTAATACAAGGTAGAATTTGATCAGCTCAGCTTGTCATTCTGTAATATGCAGAAAGTTTCTTGAATTATAAATATGTTCTGGTACATTGGCCATATCAGTAATCATTGCCCAGATCAGGAATAAGATTGGTACAAGAATCTTTTCTTATTGTGGTGTATCCTGACCTGAAGTATACTTTTTGTTACTGGAGTGAGTCTTAAAGTGTATCAAAAGATACAGCAGTGGCCTGGGATTCTCCTGCAGTTTCTTTAGAATGAAGGTGAAACATGTATCATATTAATCTGTCAAAATGTTGATCTGCATGATTCCAGCTGTTCCAGTCCTGCAGCATTAACTGTATAGATTGGTTTGGAATAAGAAATAGTTGAGCCTTCTGTATCAAATAATAGATTTCAACTGTTGTTCTCTTATGTGTCCAAGCAGCAGCTCCAATGGAGAACCGTTGTTGATGCCAAAAACGCCATCTCAGAAAAATCGCCAGAAAAAGAAGCGTTTTTCATCTGCTAAGCATGACCAGTTTGCCAAAAAGAGGTAAGATGGAACATTTTTATATATGGGGCTGGTGATGAGTGGTGAGATGATTTAGAATTTACATGCAGGCTTTTGTAATGTTTGGCGTTCTGAGCTGACATTTAAGAGAAATATTGGGATTGGGAAAAAGCCAATAGGGTATAGTGGTTTGGTGTTGAACAAGGATTCTGGGAGATGGGAGTTGGAATTCTGACTTGGCCACAGAAACCCACTAGGTGGCTTTGAGCAAGTTATACACTCTCAGTTTCAGCAGAAAGCAATGACAAACTCCCTTTGTGGGATGGGGAAATATGATAGGTTCTCCTTAGGGTCTCCATAAGTCAAAAATGACTTGAAGGCCCAAAAGAGCAACAACAACAAAAATTGGATTGGGACTAAAATACTTAGGTGTAAGTTTAAAATACGAGTATTTAAAAATGTGTTCCTAATTACTTGGGAAGTGTCTTAAAATATTTCTTTAAATATTTATATATGTTTTAATTGTGGAAGGGACAAAAACAAGTGCAACAAGAACAATCCTTGAGACATGTCTTATGTTAGAATGTGTTGCTATCTTGATTCACAAATCAGTATATTCAAATCTATTCTGTGACTATATTTTAATTGTGTAGAGTTAGTAGAGCAATTTTAATTCCCAGATCTGCTGGCTGAGATTAGTGAAAATGGTATGGAAATGCCTCTCCAAGGGAAAGGGCATATCTATCCCAGAAGCCCTATTTACTCCTACAGAAAGATCTGCTGTTATTAGTAACTGCTGGTAATAGAGCAGTCTGGAGGAGGCCTTAAATTCAAGATCTCTTGACTCCCCATGAGGCCTTCAGCCTGAGAGGATGTAGGCATTTTTCCTTCCATAGAAATCAATAGTAGAGGGTGAGAAGAAGGTAAATGTATTTTATCCTCTCTTCACAATATACCTTGGACAGCATGAACCACCAGGGTTCTGGTAGAGGATCCACCCATTTAGCTTTATGTGGGTACTGCATTTTGATAGCCATCTTAGTAAAAATAGTCCTTGTGTGAATAAAACTGTCGCATCATGGGGAAAATCAAGATAATTCAACCTGAATTGTATAGAAAGGGAGTCTCGATTTTAGGAATAAACAGCCAGTTACTCAAAATGTTTGGGAAATGGGCAAAGATACCCAAACATATTAATATTTCTAAAAACAGATTTGGGAAGCTTTGTACAGAGTGATTTGAGCCACAGAAGCCTTGTCATAATTCCTCATTTGAAAATTTGATCATAAAATCAAATCTAAGTTATAAGCTAACTAAAATTTATATCATCTTGGAAGAACTGGAACTACCTGCAGTCTGCAGTGAATCAAAAGTCTTTCTAAAATATCTGCTATCTTTTCTAAAAAGAAATGAAGAACTAATAAAGAGAAAACAGTTATATAAGATGATGGTGCAACTTCCTTTTTAAAACTCTTGTTTTTTACTTGTGTAGAACCTCCAGATAGTAATAAACTACCAGTTTAGATTAATAGCTAATTCATTTGGCTGTGCATCAGACCTCATGTGCAAAAGAAGGCGCTAATAGAAAGCCTCATTCATGTCCCATTTTGATCATAGCAGGAGATATTATTATTATTATTATTATTATTATTATTATTATTATTATTATTATTTATAACCACCCCTCTGCTCAGCAACCGGGGGGCATACAACAAGATTAAAACAAATAACAGTTCAAACACTCCTTTAACCCGATCCCTAACCCTCCCCCCTTAAAACTAAATTAAATTAATGCAGGATTAAAATAGCGATTAAACGACATAAAAAACAAACAACTTTAAAACAAGAACAAGAACAGGCGGTGGCCGTGGAGGGGTGGGCAAGCGTACCACCTCCGTTGAGCCGGGAGGTTATTCTGGGAAGGCCTGCCGAACGAGATCCGTCTTTAATGCTACAATAAGATACAATGAGTGATAGATAATGGATAGGTGCATGTACATGATAGAACTAATGCAGTTTAAGACAAGTTTAACTGCCGTAGCACCATCCTACAGATTTGTGGGATTTGTAATTTTGTGAGGCACCAGCACTCTTTGGCAAAGAAAGCTAAAGACCTTGCAAAACTACAGACCCCACAATTCTATAGGGTGGAGCTACAGCATTTAAAGTGGTGTCAAACTGCATTATTTCTACAGTGCAGAAGCAGCCTCAGAGGCAGTGGGCTAATTGTCATATTGGGATTGGCAACTGAGCAATTCATCTTGAATCTATAAATTATCAAATTGATGTGACATCAGAGCTGACGTAATGCTTATCTGACCAATCAGTGGAGCAGACCCGGGAACTTTGAGAACCACGTGGTCTGAGTCTTTCCCTTTGTCTATGAGTCTTTTCCTTGGTCTGGCCTCAGGCGGTGGCCTGAAATATCCCAGGTGCTGGTTGGAGCTGGGCCAGAGGGCCCAAGCTCCCAGCTATCTAGATCCATCAAGGATTACAAAGCTCATCTGAACTTGTATGTAGGTTTAGGATCATATATTGCTAGATAGTGCAATTAGGCCTTTTG